TATATTCATAAACATGGACACACCTGACAAACCAAGAAACAGTTGACAAAGATCCCCTCACCATTCAATGGAATACATTTAACTGGCTCAACGAGGAAACCACATCCCACCTGCAAAACATCTCCATACAATCTCCTAGTTCAAAATGTCATTTGTCACTAGTCTCCACAACAAAAAAGACGTATTTTATAGCACTAAAAGTTAATATGCACTCATTTATCACAAAGATGGATGAGAGATAAAACCCCTGTGACTGGCCATGGCAATCAACAGGGCATTCTGATGAAACATTTAAACTGGTTTGTCAAGTTCTCCTAGAGCAAGCTTCTTTTCCTGTTTTCTATTAGGAGATATCTGTGTTCCAACTGAGAAACTGGAAGGATCAGCTACCCGGAAACAATGTCAAATGCATTAAAAATTAATTTAAAAAATTAACCCCATAGTATCATTCCATCTCTGGCTTCATAAACTTCATAATATGTACACTTCACCCAACTGCTGTACTAAAACTTCTAGGCCTCACCATTTGTTCTACAAAGGAAAGAACCAAAATAAATCATTTAATATGTCCAGAGTTCTCTGGGCAAAAACGATGGAAAGGGGCTTTCATTGGGAAAACTAATGCTGTACGCAGCACTTCTTGCTATAAATGTTATAAATATCTTATTATGTGTCATTTCCAAACAGTTGCCAATTTTTCAAAAACTGTACAAAATGATATTTCCTTCTATGCAATTAACATGAAAAAAGTTATTTGCATAGGGCACTTTAGAAAACAAGTTAATACAGCTGACCTTTGAACAACGCAGGGGTTAGGAGAACCAACCCCTTCATGGAGGGGTTGAAAATCTGTGTATAATTTTTGACTCCCCAAAAACCTAACTAATAGCCTACTGTTGACTGCAAGCCTTACCTATAACATAAAGAGTCGATGAATACACATTTTATGTATATATATACACACATATATATATATACACACACTTTCCATCGTTTTTGCCCACAGAACTCTGGACATATTAAATGATTTATTTTTTGGTTCTTTCCTTTGTAGAACAAATGGTGAGGCATAGAAGTTTTAGTACAGCAGTTGTGTGTGTGTGTGTGTGTGTGTGTGTGTGTGTGTGTGTGTGTGTGTGTGTGTGTATATATGCACACATACTATATTTATACAACAAAGTAAGCTATTGAAAAGAAACTGCTGCTGGGTGCAGTGGCTCATGCCTGTAATCCCAACACTTTGGGAGGCTGAGGGGGGTGGATCACAAGATCAGGAGTTCAAGACCAGCCTGGCCAAAATGGTGAAACCCCACCTCTACTAAAAATACAAAAATTAGCCAGGTGTGGTGGCAGGCACCTGTAATCCCAGCTACTTGGGAAGCTGAGGCAAAGAATTGCCTAACCTGGGAGGCAGAAGTTGCAGTGAGCAGAGATCATGCCACAGCACTCCAGCCTGCGCAGTTAGGCAAGACTTTGCCTCAGCTTCCCAAGTAGCTGGGAATACGGGAGAAAGACAGAAAAGAAACTGCTATTAAGAAAAATGATAAGGAAGGGAAAATAGTGAAAGTGGATCATCATAAAGGTCTTCAGCCTTAAGTTGAAGGCAGGTGAGGAAGAAGAGGAGTTGGTTTTGCTGTCTCCGGAGGAGCACAGGCAGAAGAAAATCCATGCGTAAGTGGACCCACTTGTAAGAGATATGCCGTTCCTCTTACTAACTATATAGACCATGTTAGAAATACAAAGTAAAGTACACCATCCTTGCCCTCAACATAACTGGGGTGGGAAGTGGGTACCCTACACTCCTCCACCACTCACCATCCATCCAGGTGCTCAACCCAACACTGCTGGGTGGCAAGGAATCCATTGCTGACGGCTGCAGCAAGGTCCACTACGCCCCGACGAAGGGTCCAGGCCCAGGCCAAATGCTTTACAGGATTCATCTCACGTATTCTCCTAACAGCCCCAAGAAGGTTTCATTATCCCCACTCCGCAAATTCAGTAAGTGAATAAAGGCACAGGATGCAATCACTCAAAACTGTACCCAGGAAGAAGCAGGGCCAGGATTCAAACTCAAGTCTGCCTGACTCAGACTTGTCTTCTGATATTTTATGTACGTTTTCTTACCACATTTTGTTACATTTAAAATTATCCCTGGATTTTAAAATCCTTTCAGTTTACCATCTAGCAGAGGAAATAAGAGCATGAATAGAAATGACCACAACTGGCTGGGCACCGTGGCTCGTGCCTATAATCCCAGCACTTTGGGAGACCAAGGCAGGTGGATCACCCGAGTTCAGGAGTTTGAGACCAGCCTGGCCAACGTGGTGAAACCAAAATACAAAAATTAGGCAGGTGTGGTGGCGGGCACCTGTAATCTCAAGTACTCAGGAGGCTGAGGCAGGAAAATTGCTTGAACCCAGGAGACAGAGGTTGCAGAGAGCTAAGATCGTGCCACTGCACTCCATCCAGCCTGGGCAACAAGAGCGAAACTCCATCTCAAAAATAAATAAATAAAAATGACCTCAACTGTAAGCAGTAGTTCTCTAGGAGCTGGGATACACAGTTAACTGACACAGGATGGACACAAAGGAGGAAGGTGGAGAAGGAAGGGCTGATGCCCAGCAAAAGCACAAGCCAGAGTGAGCAAAGGCACGTCATCGGGAAACAATCTAGGGAGTGCTCAGAGAACAAGCAGAACAGAGCATCTGAGAGGGCCAAGCGTGAGGGAAAGGCCGGAGCTGGCTGAGCCCCACTTCAGGCATGACCTCCGCGTATCCTGGGATGCCCGGGGCTGATCCCAGGACTCAGGGTGAATCATCTAAGGCTTGTGAACACAGGACTAAGACCACGCAAGACTGACTTTTGGAAGAGTAATCTTTGCAGAAACAATTCAGGCTGGCCCATGCACCCTGCTAACACGTGAAATTTCTCTCCTAATTAAAAAAATGAAGCCACCTGAATGCAGCCACTCCTCCCTGCTGTCCCCTCCTCTCCTTCCTCACTGTCAGGGTTAATGGAAGCTTTGGATTACCCCCATCCTTTCCTTCCTTCTCCAGGTGACTCCTTTCATTATTCTGAATCTCTCCCTCTAACCTAGTTCCATCCTCTGGGCCTCCAAAGCACACATGCACCTGCCAGTTGGGGGAAAATGTGAATATAAAACACAGTACCTTCCTTTTCACACCCCAGTCTCACACATAAGTGGTCTGCCCTCATTGCTGCACCCTTTGTAATCTTGAATGTCAACAATTCAGCTTCTGTCCCCACTGAAATCTTTCAGAAACACATCAGACTGCCATCACTCACTCATCAAATGCAATGAAACTTGCTCAGTCTTCATGGACTTGCCTAAGAACTCAGAATTGCTGATCATCCTCCTCATCTTGAAGTTCTTTCCTCCTCTGACTTCTGTGGCTGCTTCTCCTGGTTCCCGCCCTAGCTGTGACCATCCTTCTTGGTTTTCGCTTCTCCCCATGCCTCACAGACATAAGAGTCATACGGCCCACGCCCTCCAACCTTTGCTCCAGCTGTCCATGCCATGGGAACAGTTACAGCATCTTTACTGTGCCCCAGTCTTCCTCCCAAGCTGAGGCCTCAGGTTTAAAACTGTGGGGAGAATGAAAGCACCTGTCACCAACAGCCAGACTTGGTTGGAAAAGTCAGTATGAGACATTTAGAAAGGCAGGTGGCGGTGAGATCGTGGAGAACCTCACATACAAGGCAAGGTCAGTTAAGGTCCCTGAGAAGGAAAGTGACTTGTTCAAAGGAGTGTGGGTAGGCAACTAGCCTGGAATGATTGTGAAAGATGGACCTAAATGCAAAGAGACTAAGGCAAAGAACACAATGAATCCAGACCCAGCAAATCAAGGCAGGAACCAGTGTGGCCACAATGGAAACAGAACGCAAGGGGAGGTCTCTTGAGAGTCCAAGTTAAATAACAAAGCAGCAGCAGCAGCTGATACGATGTCCAGGTCACCTCTCCTCAGTCAGTCACTATACAGGTATCAAGTTCCTACTGTATCCTAGCACTGGGCTGAGTGGTGGTACCACCAACACAATCCATCTGCAGTCCCTGCTTTGAAGGGACACACAGGCTACCTGGGGAAGTCAGGAAAATAAATCCAGTCCTTTTAAAACAATTTCATAGAACAGCAAGTAAAACAACCTAACAGACAACCAATAATCAACAGGTTGTAAGAGTTTTATCCAAGATCAGACAGTTAACCAAAGGAAGAAAAGTAGTGACAGGGAAAACATGAGGCACTTTAACACTCCCTGGACCAGTCTCTGGAATAGCTGGACACAATAAAAACAGAGCCAGAGAGGAGTCCTAGTCATTATCATGTAAGGTCTATAATTGGCTAAATTTATAATGACAATGTTCAAAGAGGCTTCAAACCTCGCCTCTTTCCAGGCACAGCGCAAGCATACATAAGCAGCAAAAGACTAGGGATGAGGGATACATGGATATGTCTAAAAAACAGAATTTACTGCATATGTAAATGCCTGAGGGTACTCTCAAGCATATACCCTCACCGTGAAACTGTGAGGTTACTGTGAAGTCTATATGAACTAAAGCAGTCAGTGATTCTCAAACTTTAGGGCTTACTAAAAAGTGCATATCCTCCCATCTGATCCCTGAAAATTTAAATAGTCACCTGGGTAATTAATTCTGATGCAGAGAATAAACAGGTCACCTTTGTAAATGTTCTTAAAAGTGATTTGCAAAATTTGGAGTTGCTCGAGTCTGCATTCAAATGCGCTTTATTATTTGAACACCTGTAATAAAAATATTGATTAGAAATTAAAATTTATGAAGTTCAATTTAAAAAATACATATATTTAGAAAATGTGAAGAATAAGAAACATTAAGCAGCACATTAGTAGGCTTAATCTCAGAAATTTTTCAATTGCAAATTTATAGGCATCTTCGGCTCAGGTAAGTGGTTGGCTCAGCACACTAATAAAAATCCTATGATAATCTCAGGCAAGATAAATTTAAATAGGGAACAGCCTCAATGGAGTAGTTTTCTCAAAAAGGACATATTAAGCCAAGAATGTATTATCTTATTTTATATTTTCATGACTCTTTCCCATAAAAAAACTGATTGGAATTTCTTCTGTGTCTTCTGAAAGCAAGAATCCAGGTTCTCAGGGATTAGAAAAACAGTTGTTTACATCTTTCCTGAGACCACAACTTCCCTACGCTGTGTGGATCTTTGCAAATGTGATGACAAATCCATCTCTGAAACTAAACAATGTCCACGCCCTTAACAGTTTGGCAGATGCCTCTGGCAGGAGGAAATACGGTCCGAGGTCGCAGCGGGACCTCAAGCCTCACCGTCCTGCTCTGTTCTTGTCCTGCTGATGCCAACATGGGAGTGGAAACCAAGACGGACATGGTCACCAGCACGTCACATACTTGTAACAAATGTTGTCCACAGTCCACTGCAAGGCCATTTCAGCCTGAATATTTATCAGTCCATACTGCTTTTTGTTTGTTTGACCCTGGACTACTTCCACAGAGCAAGCAGCACAGATCTCCATGATGTAAATCACCAGGAAGATCCTCGGGGTACTAGGCAGTCCATGAGATGTGGGCCCATGTTATCTCACAAGAAATGACCTTTACCTAGCAATATTATTAATAACTAATATTTATTAAGCACAGTTACTTTGTACCAAGCACTTTATTTTGTTATTTCATTTTATACCCAAAACCATTTTATGAGGTAGACATTTTTTTACTGTTCCATTTTACAGAGAAGGAAGACAGGCACCAGGCTCACAGCTCACAGCTAGCGCATGGTGGAACAGGGGTTCTAGCCCACCCTGGGACTGAAGAGATCCAGCCCTGATCCTTCTATTGGCAATTTCCACAAGGGTAACAACAGCCAACAACACTGGGAGGTGTCCCTGTTTCCAGACAGAAATTCTGGTTTCCCTGCTTTTAGCCTCCCTTCTTCCCACATAGCCTACTCACTCATACCCAATAAATCACCTTGAAACTCCAACTTCATCACGTCACTGCCTTGCTAAGAAACCTTCCTCCCTACCTCGAGAGTAAAGCTCAAATGCCCCAGCCACCATGTGGCCTCGTGAGGAAAACCTTTCTCAGGGTCCTCTCTGTGCCTAGAAAGTACATCCTTTCCTTTTCATCAAAATTAATGAGGCTCCCAGGCTCAGCTTGAGTGCTGCCCCTCCCACCAATTCTGCCCATGGACGTGGGTCAAGCAACCTACAACACTCCAGGACACTCTTCATGGGTGCCCAGACATACCTCTACCACCCTACTGAACTCAGCAATGCACATAGAGCACGGCACGGGGCCAGAACTCAACAGGTCCGCAATACATGTTAATCCGTTGGCCTCTTCCGCCTTCTATCATTACAAAGATTTCTTGTTTCGTGACTTTTCATTGTACATCTTACTTCTCACATAAACTCTCTATCCCCTGCTAAGCAAGCACTGTTATTCCCATCTTCATAAGGTCTGCATTTTGTACATGTCCAGTACTTGTTGAAAGAGAAAATCTTTTCACCATCAATTCTAAAGCCTGGGGATTTTGCCTCCTTGCCAGTAGCCAGCCATACAAAGCCCCAGATTAACATGTTGGTACAGATCTGTTCCCACAGTTTTAAAATTACTTTTTAAAAATGGAAGCCACTTTTTCAAGAAACCTCTTGAAAAACTTGAAACCTTTCTCAAAACTAAGATAAAACAGCATCCTAACAAAAGCGTGAAAGAACAAAGGCCACCTTTGGTCCCAAATTTAAAATAAGCACCTATCTTCAAGGCCAGCCTGGAACTTGGCTTAATCCAGCAGGTCAGCCCAGCCTCATGAAAAATACACCACTGTGCTCGGACGGGGCTGTCACTGTCCGAAAGGGCAGCAGCGCTGCCACACAGGTAGGAAACACAAGGGCCCCTCTCTCTTCTGTACTTGGTTTAGAGAGAGCTGAAAGGCCCCAGACCTACTACCCCAGGGACAGAATTTCTCTACTAAGCCGCACAAAAGGCAGCATGAAGCAGAACTGCAGGCAGAGGGAGTGCTGGTGGGACCTCCCAGGAACCCTGCCTGATAGGCCTCAATCCCACCTATGCAGGCCCCTTCTGGACCACCCCCAGCCCCTGCCAACCAAATGAAGCCAAATATCAAATACACCACATTCAAGGCCACTTGATTTTTGCCCTGAACAGAGCAGAAAGAGCAGACAGACGAGTGTGAGATGCTGCCTTAAAGCAGCCTTTGAGTGAACACACAATCCCTCAAGTGTTTCTCACTCTGATTAACAATCTGTCACAAACACCAATTTAGAGAGTAAAATGGTACAAACTGGTGGGGGAGGGTGCTTGGCAGCAGGGGGCACTTTTGGAGTGTGCATTAAACAAACCACCACTACAAAACCCTAAATATATCCCTACCCTTTCACTTGGCTATTTGAGTCCCAGGAATTTCCTAAGTCACAAAACAAAGATATCTTCTTGAATTTGTAGGTAACATAAAAACTTTGAAAAAGGATAAACAGAAGACAAGCAAATGATTGCACATCAATAAAATAGAACACTACCAGTCATTAAAAACGAGTCAGAAGCGTGTTTACTGACATGAAAAAATTTATGTAAAAGAAAAGGAGGTTTCAAAGTGGTACCCAAAGAGTACCTCTCACAAAGGGCAACCCAAAAACAAAGAGTCAACACAGTACCATCATTTCGGCACCAATCAATTAAAACGCTTATGAAGGGAATTTCATATGAGAACAACAGACAACTTAGTTATACTATCAATGTCTGCGTTCATTCTCTCCTTTCACACTTAAACTGGCATTCCAGGTAGACCATTCAAGGAACTGGCAATGGCAGCCCTCAGTCTGTGCTGCCTGCTACAGGAGCCTCTAGCCACATGTGGCAATCTAAATTTATTCTCTAAAATTAAGTACGATTTAAAATTCAGTTGTTCAGTCACACTAGCTATGCTTCAAGTGCCCGACAGCCACATGTGGCCAGTGACTGCTACGCTGGACGGTGCAGACATACATTTCCATCAGCATAGAAAGCTCTAATAACAGTGCTACCCTAGAACAAGAAGAGTGGGTTCAGAGAGGGTAAAATGGGGTGGAACTAGTGAAGCCTGGAAATGCAGCCCAATGTCCAGGTGAATGTCCACACTTAGCTAGAGCATGGGCCTAGGGAAAGCAACTGCTGAAAAACCTTGAAGTCTTCCATCTTTCTGTTAATACAGATGGCACTACTCACTTATAACAAACAAATGCAGTACACAAATAAGTCATATCCTTTAAAGTTGAAATCCACAAAGATTAGACTTAGTCCAATGATGCAGGAACCACACAAAGATCTGTGCCATTCTTTGGAAATAAATTCAGAGCCAGTTCACTTATTTTTTTAAAAACTCATTTCTTAAATTCAGATTCAACTCAGTGTTAAAAATTCTGATCGCTCAACTTACCCATGAAGCCCCAAATCACACGCTGGTGTTTCCAAAATAAAAGAATCTAATTTATTCTCAAAAGGCAAATGATTGCTGCCATCTCATCAAGAAAACAAATGTGTAACAAGTTAAAACGAAATTCTGTGATATTTTTAAAAAGCCAATCACCTCATTTAGAAGCACATACTGCATGTATATATGCAAATTGGTATCTGTCGTGTATTTATGCACATAGAGATGCATAACACAAAAAAAGATGTCTGCATTTACTAAACATACTCTAACAGCATCTTCATCCTCGTAAGATACAGCATCAACTCCCAATTTTTCAGGTCAACGAAAATGAACAAGGATTTCCACCATCCAAATAGAAGAGAATCTGTCCATTCTCTACAACACACAAATCACTTCTCTCTGGTTTTGCAATACACTAATAACTTTGTAGCTGTTGAGTTAGGCTAATCATTGTTTAGCTTATTTTGAAATAATTTTCAGATAACAGAAGAACTGTAGCAATAGCTCAGTTCCCCCACACCCTTTACCCAGCTTCTATAAGGTTAATATCTTACATAGCCGTAGTATAATTTTTTAAACTAAAAAATTAACATTGGTACAATACTATCAACTAAAGATTTTATTTATATTTCTAACCATTTTCTTTTCACCTAATATTATACTAAACTGGCAGTTTCTAAGCATACAAAGACTAAATAGAGGTAAAAGAGAAGTGACGATGTCAAAATCCAGCAAAGTTAATCAAAAACATCCCAATTTGCACTAGGTAATCCAGTAGCAGGCAATCTTGACAATAACATGTAAATAAAGGAGAACTTTAGCTCTTACTGTTTATTTTTCTGCAATTTTTCATTTTTGATATTCTATAGAGACCAGCTCGGTCGTGGAGACCCCTACCCAGGCAGTGCTGAAGGAATTAAGAAACAGACACAAAGACAGAGTGCAAAGTGGGACTATCAGGGAATCAGCAGCCTTCCAGGCTGACAGCCTCAGGGGCTGATACCCTTCCGAGCTGACGGCCTCACTGTGACCCACACAGTTCCTCTTTCTGAACAGGTGATTATTATTAACAAACAGGTGTTCTGTGTTTTCTCATAGAGCCAAGATAAACTAGGCAGGCAGCTGATGCCTGCTTACCACTGATCAAACACAAACCAGCAAGCATTCTCCCGCAGGGAGCCATGGGGGAAGGATCACATGTCCCATGTTTGAAGAATTAGTTTAACTGGTGTATGATGTACATATATTGTCTACTGCTTTAGAATGCCCCAAGCAGTTTTCGGCTTGGGAGTCGGCTTGTTTTCCTTGCCATCATTCTCAGCAAACAATATAATTTTCCATACATGTTAGGAATTATCCCACAATATTCAACATTTTTTTAAATTAGTAATAGGAAGCACAGAAATAAATGTCTCCTCATTTTGAACTTGGAAAACAAAGAAGAAATGAATGTAGGTATTGGCTTTAAGATATTAACACTGTAGTAAAAACAGCTTAGATTTTGGTTCCTTAGATTTTTGGTTACTAGGTTTTTTATTTTTTTAAAAACTCATACATAAGAATATTTTGTTTGCACGTCTGTGAGGACATTTCCTTATTTCTAAAAGTCAATTTTCTGAGACAAAGAAATGAAATTTTTGACACTTATTGAGAAAGCAGAAACTTAAAAACTAATAAATGTTATTTTTTGGGTATATATGGGTAACTTTTACTCACATACATCAGAAAAGTGTTTTTAAAATCACTTTTTTAAAGACACGGAGCAAGTCTTTATATCATCAGGACAAATTAAATATAAATACATCTTCTCCAGCTGAGTATCAGATTTATGTTACTTTTGCTTTCTTTCAATTTCAAAAGTCCTCCAGTGAAGATAACCAATGTCCCACAGAAAAGATAGCCTATCTCATTTATACTCCATAAACATCACCAGCTCAGTAAACATTACCAGATTAAGTTTGGACAGGACTGGCTGTACTGAAGTACAAAAACATACAATTCACAGAAGTGAACTGTGTAATAAATATATTAATGCAGGTGATGTTCCTATTGAAGCTGGCTTTCAGGGAAGGCTTCAAAAGTCTTTAGACATAACTATGTCACCTCTTAATATTTTACACTGCTCTGAACATGCTCAAAGAGCATCCGACTGGCATATGTGCCCCCACCACAACACTATTTTTAAATTAGACTCATAACATTAAACTAATTTAAAAACATACATCTGATGGTCAGCAGTCCTTCAATGTATCTAATGACAGGTGGGACAAACAGCATGTAAAATTCAGTTAACTTTCTGTTACTGGCGTTAATGTGGACCAACGCTCCCTTGAAAATGTAAGAATAACCAAACAGAAGCTTATGTTAAATCTACACGTTTGAATTCCAGTCCTGCATGCTCCCTCCATGGTTTAGATGGATGGTGAATAGGAGTGAAAGGGCTAAATGACCAGAAGTCACGTGAGAAATGAGACCTAAAGATCCCAAAACCACCAAGAACTGCTGTAAATACACATTCTCATCAAGTAAGTTGACTAGAAATCCAGATCCTTCCATCATCTCTTTGACATCACTTTGGAGATCAGAACACTCAGATCTTTTTGCATGACTGGAATTAGAAAATTATATTCTCAACAGTAATATATTAAAGTTTGTAAACACCAATATCCCTTACATTGAACAAGATGGTATAAAACTGTTCAAACCCAAAATTCTTAACTTATCCCTCCTCAGAGCCAATCTTCCTCTTCTCTTCACCAATATCCATACACTAGAAAGCATGTTTATTCAGTCACCCTGCCGCCAAAGACTCAGCTTCAACTCTGAATGCTCCCTCTCTGCACCTTCAGGCACAAAATTATATTGCTGGTTCACTCATTCTTTCAACAATGATTTCATAGCTACTCGGTGCCAGGTAGGCAGGGAATACGAAGAGCTTTAGAAGCTTTTCCTCTGACTGACAGTGTCAGCATGTTCAAAACCATCTCGGGGAGGTAGTGGAGTGGGGGTGACAGCACCAGAGTTGCTTCTACAACTCCCGTTCCAATTCAATACGCCACACACAGAACCAACACAGCTGATCTCAAGGACTCCGTCTGTTCCCACTCCCATTTAGTTCCCACATCTCCAACATATTAATCTTCCAGGGCCACTCTGATCAGGTGAGCCTACCACCGCAAAATCTGGTACCCACCACTTGGCATTCAGGTCCCTACACAATATAGACCCCTTAGGCTGCAAGTGGCTCAAGCCTTGACTGGACTAGCCTCCCCGTCTTCTCTGAGTAAATTCATTTGCCATGACCCAAATAAATCCTGTCCTTTTTCACCTCCAGGCCTTTCCCACCGCCTTCCCCACTGCCAGAAATGTTCTTCTATTTCAAGAACCACCCAACCAAAAAACCCAGTCCCCAGTCTCTCTCTCCATGAGCCTGTCCCAGATCACCCAGGCCAAAGTCGCCTCTTCCACCTTGTACATTTTATCACATACTCTTTTTTATTTGATTTCAGCAGCTACTTCCGTAAAACTAACATAGTATGTATCACATGCTGCCTTCAATGATAATGCATATACAGGATGAGAGTCCCTTATCCAAAATGCTTGGTAC